TAAATGAGTTTTCTTGGTTTCATAAGCTTTTCTTATTTCTCTTTCACAGAGTTCTGAGAAATTAAAATTAGCATTTGAAAGTATTCAAAAATTGTTTAAATTGTTGTTTAGCTGTTATAATCTACAGGTGCAGTTCTAAATTAAATAAATGTGCCATCTGTTATGTCACAATATTGAGAAATTGACAACTGCACTAACAGAAAAGTTTAATATCTCTGACTTCACAAATTAATAAAAACTTCTTTTGGAGGAAAAAATTCTACATAAAATCCAATTCCATAAATAAATTCAAACAAGACACTTCCTTTAGTTTATTTTAATAGGAAACTATTAATGAAAAATTGTTAATATTATTTTCTGTTAGTATTAGAAAGGAATAAAATAAAGAAGTCATGCAGTTAATATTTAGTTTCTCTACACTTGCCAAAGACCACACAGTAGGTGCTGGGGATACAAAAATGTAGGACATACCCCAACTAGGCTAATTGATATGCCAGCAAAATACATAAACCATATAACTATACCAGAGTGTGACAAAATACAAGAGAAAAAATTGCATAAATGGACAAAAAGTCATGATAGCTGAAAGCATTAACAGTTCTGCCTCCACTTTTCTACAAAGCTCTGTGAAGCCAGGAGCCATGTTTGTCCCATCAGTGCTGGATGATCACTAGCTGCTAGCATAATGTCAGATATACATTAGGTGCTCAATAAATGTCTGTTGACTAAAACAATAAAAGAAGGAAAGCTTCTTATAGAAAGTGACAACTGAGATGAGCATTAAAACATGATTACGAGTTAAAGGGGAAAAAGTATTCCTGATAAAAGAAACAGAATAGAAAACATCCACCATTTACCCATTTATGTTAATTAACATTCAGCATTTTACTCCAAAATATATTTTCTACAAGCAACATTTACTAAGCTAAAGATTTCCGAAATGAATATTCTCATTCTGAATAAACAGAAAATACAGTACCAAGGACTCCAGTATCCACAGCATACCTCTCATTAGACTTTGCTGTGGAGATCTCTCACAAGACTACTCAAAGTCTTAGGAGAGGTATGTTAGCTCAATTATAGCAGTGTAAGCTTAATCATAACCATCACAAATAAAACCAAACATAATAGCTACAAAAATAATTTATAACAAAAAACAAAATGGAATAAAGTATATTTTAACTAAACATCATTTTAAGTTGGATTTAATCAAACGTCGCTTTAAAATTAATTTAATAAAATTTAATAAAGGAAACTTTACAACAGTCACGTACTCAAGAAACAATATGAGCCCAGGCAGAAATAGAAAAAAAGTAATTTTATGCCTAAAAAATTGTAATAAATGCAGTTATTAGAGTAAGTCAGCTACATTCTGTTACACTCAGTTCTGAATGTGTAACATTTTGAGTCAGACTTCAGGTGAAAGATAAACATGAGCTGTAGCTTGGTCAACCAACCTTTTATGCGCTGACAAGCATTTTCTTAAAACGTCAGATAATAAGTATGTTAGGCTTGTGGGCCACATAGTCTCATAATTATTTAACTCTGCTACCGAAAGTAGCCACCGACAATACATAAGTGAATGAGTGTGGATGGGTTCCAGTAAATCTTTATTTACAAAAACAGGTGGCTGGCCCATGACCATATTTGCCAACCCTGTCCTGGAATCTAAAACTGACTTCTCACTAACTCTTTTTTCATCAAGACCGCTTTACTCCCTTTCAAATACTTTCACATAAACTGTATTGGTGTTTCATAAGGCCTCTACAGATATCAATGAAGCAAACCTAACAGATATCCTTGTTTTATAGATTAAGAAACTGAAGCTCAAAGGAGTTGACTTGATCTAAGGACTACTAAGACCGGAGACTAAAAACCAGGCCTTTGTTCTTCTAACGCTTAATCATTATCCTCCATACCCAATCTTCCAATGCCGCAAATAAAACATTCAAATCGTTTTTAGAATCCTCTGCTTAACCCTCGAGTTCTTTTTAGAAGACTCAGCCATTCACAATAGACTTTAAGAACATCTACTTAACTAATTAAATTATTAACTTCAATTGTGAAGTTAATTCAAATCCTTCTTTCTTTACATGATCCTCATCTTCTTCTATTTAGGCTACCTTCTTATTTACAAGTCTCCTAAAATATCATTTAACTTCAAATCGCCAGCAAGAAACAAGGCAGTACACCTTCTTATGGAGGTGTAAATTATTTTAATCATTTCGTAAGAGTTTGTGAACTCAGTAATAAAAATGTGGTAAGAGGCCTAGTGCCTAACTTTGCAAAGCTTATAATCTAGTTGAGAAATGCCAGATGTATAAATATGAAAGTAAGGAGTGACTCCATGTAACCTAGGTCAAATCTAAAAAATTTAAAACAAAGAAATGAGAAATGAAAAAATGTAATTTACAGTATACATTGTCATAAAATACATGTCTTACTTGCTCTTGATACCACAGAAATGCCCTAAATTTTGTATAATGAAAGTTTAACGAATACTAAATACCTACAAACACCCATTTGATGTGGTAACAGCATAGTCCAAAAGTTAAAACTAGATCACATTTTTTAAAAATTATGGCAGGTGAAGGTTTTCTTCTGTTTTATTCTAGTCATTGCCATGAAAGAACATCTACTGGACTAACTCCCTGGCCAAAAACACTGTTGAAGATAGAGGAATTACAGGACATGCCCTCACTCTGCATGGCAGGATGGGACTGGAGAAGTAATCATGCAAGTTGAAACTAAGCAAAGTGATCTTCATAACTAATGGAGACAATTACGATTGTTCCACAATCTTTAAAAAATTTTGTCAAAACATTTAAAAACTCTTACTGTTGATTATAAATATAAACTACAGGCTGAGCACAGTAGCTCATGCCTATAATCCCAGCACTCTGGGAGGCCAAAGTGGGCAGATCACTTGAGGCCCGGAATTCGAGATCAGCCTGGCCAACATGGCAAAACCCTGTTTCTACTAAAAATACAAAATCAGCTGTGCATGTTGGTACATGCTTGTAATCCCAGCTACTCAGAAGGCTGAGACATGAAAATTGCTTGAACCCGGGAGGCGGAGGATGCAGTGAGCTGCGATTGCACCACTGCACTCCAGCCTGGGTAACAGAGTGAAACTTAAGTCTCAACAAAACAAAACAAACCACCACAATAAATGTATACTGAAAAATAAAAAGTTAAAAGAAATCCTAATATTTATTTAGTACAATTATAATTTAACACATTAGAAACATTGAGAACTGAAGTGTTTTATTTTTAAATTTTATTTTATTTTTTTTAGAGACAGGGTCTCACTCTGTCACTCAGGGTGGAGTGTGGTGGCACGATCATGGCTCACTGTAACCTTGAACCCCTTGGGCTCAAGCAATCCTCCTGCCTCAGCCTGCCTAGGACTGCGGGCACATGCCAGCATGCCCTGGCTAATTTTAAAATTTTTTTGTAGTGATGAGGTCTTGCTATGTTGCCCAGGCTGGTCTCCAACTCCTAGCCTCAAATGATCCTCCCAGTTGGGCCTCCTAAAGAATGCTGGGATTACAGGCATGGGCCACCACACCCAGCCAAAAGTATTTTATTTCTTTGCAAAAACTTAAGAACTTACAGTTTGAAGAGTGCTTGCTTTCTCAACATATAACTTATGGGCAAGCATCCTTTCCATGTCTTGGTGAATTGAAGTCATTTTTTCTACATTTTAATCAACTTCTAACATTTTACTATTTGTATTTCAATGTCATAAAATATCTGAGAGTTCCTTTAATAAGAAGTTTTTTATAGCATCACTTCCTTTGGGACATCTTCATCCTTTTGTCACAACTACTTTCCTTATTCATGCCAGTAAGTTCACCTTTACTGCATATAAGTTCCTCAATAAGTTCCCCTGGCTGCATAATCTAGTCTCTTGAAGGGCAGCCATGTCAACATTTTCAAAGTCAGCTATTGCTTCCATAACCCCCTTTCTTTCTATTCAAATTTCATTCCCAACATTATCAGTTGGTTTCTTTGTTGGATTTACATCTCTCTTGGCCAATTCCCTTTTTCAATTATCGATTTTTATAAAATGTTACATGGGTTTATTGCTGGAGACAAGGAGGCAACACAACTACATGCTTTTCTATCTGTGGGTGAAATGAAAAATAGACATAGAGAGGCCAATCACTGACAGATATGGAAAGAAGTGACATAATTTATCACTAATCATAAGCTCATCTGTTGTTATGTAATGATTCCTGGACTAAACTAGCAACAAAGTTCGCATTTTATGTAATTATCTGCAGTCAATATACCACTATAATTGAAATTTGAACTATACAGTTGAGGACCTGGTGTTACTTAACTAAACCACAGTAACTGAAATTCATGCATACTGGAACCATGTAAAGGGAGGACTATCTGTACATAAAACAACTGTTTGAAAACACTAGAGGGTGATCAATGCAGGCAAGATCACAGAGTTATTTAAATTCTCCAAAACATGAGGGATACAGAGATGACCACCACATTCCACTTAGCTTTTTCCTTGGGAGTATTTTCTAAACCACAGCAAGGAGAAAGGGAATTGAAGCACAAAACAAGTCTACTGTCCTGAGAAATCAGAGGTTGGAGTTCAATCCCCACACATGTGGAGGTATCTTAGTACGCACCCAGAATTTTCCATCGTGACCACAGAAGGGTCACGCCTGAGGAATCAAAGACCACATCCCCAGAGTAATGGCATTTCCTTCAGAAGCTAAACCCAAGTTTATATGACATATGCCATATGTTAGGGGCTAAGCAATCAGTCTAATGCTAGAGAATCCATGAACAGAGGGACACCAAAAGAGTAGAATGTAAGGGATGACTAAAAGTAGCCTCTGCACAAATCTGGGAACAGAGGCTACAATTTAAACTTGTACCACCAACTCTAAAATGTATCAATTACTCACAGGGTTATGGCTGTATCATATTTTATAAAGTGGTATTCTAAAAGTAAACACTATTACGCTTACCATTTTGTAATCCCATCCAGAGTTGTTTGTGATCTTTTTTCTGCATTTCATTGATTACTTGACTTTTATGTTTTAAAGCATCAGCTTCTTTCATACATGACATAAAATGAGCTTCAATCGCATCCTTAGATGGACAGTGCAGAAGGTCTTTTTCTGGAAAACTCTATCAACGGAAAAAATACACATATAAAACAGGTACACACATTACAAAATTAACCTCTTAAAAGAGAATTATATCCCCCAGTTTATCAATATTTCTAGTAAACTATCTCCTAGCACTGAAATAACCCAAAATACTTTTAAATTTAACTTAAAAATCTTTAGCTATTTGGCCCATTTTGTACTTTTCCCAAATAATTCTTACGTGTTTTATAACAACATGAAAAAAGGCATCAAAGGGTAATAATCCGAAAAATAGCTTTTCAACTGACCATACCAAGTATTGGCAAAGATGTGGAATGGAGCCCTCACACAGTACTAACAGAAATGTAAAACAGTATAACCACTTTGGAAAAGTCTGGTAGTTTCTTAAGGATAGTAAACAGACATCTACCATCTGACCCAGCCATTCCACAACTAGGCATCTACCTAAGAGAAATGAAAGTAGTATGTCTATATAAGGACTTGCTACATGAATGTTCACAATAGTTTTATTTGTAACAGCCCCAAACAGAAAACAAATCTAAATATCAACAGGTAAATGAACATATAAATTGTGGCATAAACTTACTCACTTCGAATAGGTAAAGCTTACTATAAGTCAATTAGACCTCAATAAAGCTGTTAAAAACTAGATTTTAAAGTCAAATAGCTAAATTTACATTCTGTAACTTCACTGGTTCTTTTAGGCAGCTAAAGCAATGATCACTGGACATACACAGAGTTATGTAAATGAAACGACTGATGCACTTTTCACTGAAAAAAAGATAATGAGAGCTAACAGTTACTGAACACTTACTGTGACACTGTATTAAAACTTTTTATATGGATTATCTTATTTAATCCTCACAACACTTGAGGTAAACATTACTATTATTGCTATTTTACAGATAAAAAAATTAAAGTTAGGGAATATCTAAAGTCGCAAGTGTCATTCAGCTTGCTAGGGAGCTAGGATTTAAGGCTAATTTGACTCAAGTCCTATCTTTTAACCATTATACAATATCACTTCCTCCAAAGACTTAAATATTTAAGATAATCATTATATTCAAACATGATTTTACAAAGTTATTATCCTATATGTACTTTAATACATTTAAACAGAAGTAAAAATGGCAAAAAAAATAGCATACAGCCTACTCAGGTTACCGTATTCATAAACAACATTCAATTATCCCTGTCATGGAGCTTTCATAAAAAGAATGAAATGAAAAGATAAAGAAAGAAGCTCCTGAGTGACTATGAAACACTGATGGAAAGCAGGAATTAGAAAGCGATTAAAGACACCATTCCTCATCTCTCTCAATACTTTTTTAATAAGTCAAATTTATGATTCACATGCAGTCAAATGCAGAAATCAAGAGTACAATAAAATGAGTTTTGACAATGAGTAACTGTCAGCCCAAGTACAGAGCATTACCATCACCCACAAAATGTCCTCTGTGCCCTTTGCAGTCAGTTCCCTCATTCCCTTCCCAAGAAATCACTGATAATGACATATAACACTAGATTAGTTTTGCCTGTAATAAAATCTCATATAAACAGAACTGCAGTATTGTGTAACTTAGTATCTTTCACTTAGCATAATATTTTTGAGATTCATTCCTGTTACTGCACATATCAGTAATTAATTCCTTTTTGTTGCTAAGTAGCATGCCATTTAATGAATACACCACAATCTGTTTATCTAAAAACTTGTTAATAGACACTGGGATTGTTTCCACATACTGGCTATTATTTAAAAAGCTGCTATGAACATTAACACACAAGTCTTTTATAGACACATGTCTTCATCTTTCTTGGGTATACAGCTGGAAAAAGAAATGCTGGGTCACAGAGTAAGTGTATATTCTAATTTTACTTAAAAACTGCCAAACTATTTTTCAACATGATGTATGATGTTACACTCCCACTAGCAATGTATGAGTTCTGGTTACTCCATGTCCTCAAACTTGCTACTGTCAATCTTTTTCATTTAGTCATTCTAGTGAGTGTAATGTAATGTCTCTTTGTGGTTCTAATTTACATTTCCAAGATGACTAAAGATGTTGAGTGCCTTTTCATGTGTTTGTTGGTAAATTTATATATGTTCTGTGAACTAAGATTTTCGCATTTGTTTAAAAGCAACTACTAGGCAAGAAGTTGAGTATAATGTGAATTTTATGGTTGCATATGTAAATATTATTCACAAGAAATGCTAGGTGAACAGAAAATTTCACCCAGCTAAACTAATCAGCTGGGAACACATACAATGCACACATGTGCACACCTCCAAAATGGACCAGCTACTTCAATTCATGTTATGAGTTGTATTCATCTACATCAGGTGCTACAATTTCTTGTTTGTTATCAGAAAATCCTCCTTTCACTTCACCTGTCATGGCGCAAGTCTTCTATATCCGTTTCTGCAAGCAAACTTCCAGTCTTTGCAACATGAAATGCCATATTTATTGTAGTATTTATGCATTTCTCATACATTTTACCTGTTAAAACTGTGGTATGGGTTTTTACTAGGTTCCTGTTTTCTTTGGTCATGTTAGTTTGCTGCGATGTTGTGGCCCCTAACCCTTTCCCCGTAAGTCCAGTAGTTTTCCATTGCACAATTTTTTAAGAGCAAAGTTAAGAACACATACAGTCGCATTATAGAAGTGCCTATACTCCGAGCAGACATCCTTACCTCTTTTCCCTCATCTTAGAGTAAAACATTCAATAAACCATCATGTAGCAGACTTTAATTGTAGCCTTTTCATACTTTTCATATCTATTCTTTGTCAAATCGAATGAATTCCCCCTTCTATTCCTAAGCTTGCTATAAGTTTTGATGACAAATGGGTATTAAATTCTGTCAATGAATGACTTTTTCTGTATCTACTGATTTTTCTCTCTTTATTCTGTGACTTACATTGATATGGAGATAGTTTTATTTTGAGCGGCGTCTCCTGTGTCACACCAGGCTGGAGCACAGTGGCACAATCACTAGCGCATCACTCGCGCCCTCAACCTTCTGGGGCCCAAGCGATCCTCCCCCCAATTCAGTCTTCTGAGTACTGGAACCCACAGGTGTCACACAACCATGCTCCAGCTATTTTAAATTTTTTGTAGAGAATGAGTCTCCCTATGTTGCCCAGCTGCGTCTTGAACTTCTAGGTTTCAAAGTAATCTTCCTGGCTCACGCCTTCCAAAGTACTAGGGATTACAGGCGCGGCGACCTCACCTGCACCTGGCCCTACATGCATTGAGATTTGAATGTTGAATCAATTTTTTACTCCTAGGATAAAACTTCACACTCACATCATGGTGTGTTACTGTCGTCTTCTTTTAATTATTGCAAGATTCAACTTGATTGGTACTTCCGCTGCCTGAAGAGGCTCTTGCATCCACTGTCATGAAATAGTATTGGGCTTATAATTTTCTTTAATCGTCTTGTAACAGGTCTTCAATATCAGGGTTATTCCTGGCCCTCCTAACCAAGTTCGTGTCTCATTTCTGGAAAAAGTTTGTAAAGAGTAAGAAAGTTTGTAAAGTTTGTAATATTATTTCTTAAACATTTTATTTCATTTTATTTTTAACTTTAGAGACACGGTCTCACTACGTTGCCCAGGCTGGAGTGCAGTGGCTATTCACAGGCACAATCCCACTACTGATCAGCACGGGAGTTTTGACCTGCTCCATTTCTGACCTGGGCCGGTTCACCCTTCCTTAGGTAACCTGGTGGTCTCCTGCTCCCAGGAGGTCACCATATTGATGCCAAACTTAGTATGGAAATCCAATTGGCATAGCACACTACAGCCCAGAACTCCTGGGCTCAAGCGATTCTCCCGCCTCAGTGTTCTGAGTAGCTGGGACGACAGGCATGTGCCACTGCACCCGACTAGTTCTTAGGTATTTTATAGAGTTCTCCAATGAAACTCTCTGTGCAAGGTGTTCTACTCTGTGAGGTTTTTAAAATTACAAATCAAATTTACTTGCAGATTAAAGAGCTATTCATTTATGTTCTTATGTCAGTTTTGGCGACTTGTGTTTTCATTGAATTTGTCCATCTGTCAGATTTATCGGCATAAAGGTATTTATTCAGTTAATATAAATGAATTATATAATGTGCAGTCATTTGTGTCTTCTTTCACTTAACATGGTATTTTCAAGGTTGTAACATATTATCAGTAATTCCTTCCTTTTCACGACCAAATTATACTCCATTGTAAGGATACGTACAGTATTTTGTTTATTCATCAGCTGATGGACATTGGGTTATTTCCGCTTTGCCTATTATGAACATTCATGTATAAGTTTTTGTGTGGACACAAGTTATTTCCATATTTTGCATATTAGAATTACATATTCAGTTCTCTTGGCAATATTACTAAGAGTAGAATTGCTGGGTAACACGGTAAGTATATCATTTGATGACATACTAAACCGCTTTCCAAAAAGGCTACACCATTTTCATTCTCATCAGCAACGTACGAAGGGTCTAATAAGCCTATACCCTCTCCATCATGTGTTACCGTTTTTTGTTGGGTTTTTTTTTTTTGGAGACAGGGTTGCACTCTGTCACTCAGGCTGGGTTGCAGACACGCGATCAGGACACACCTCAGTCTTCCAAATAGCTGGGACTATAGGCACATGCCACTACACCAGGCTATTTTTTAAAAAATTATTTTAGTAGAGATGAGTTCTCGTTATGTTGATCACACTGGTCTCGAAATCCTGAGCTCAAGTGATACAGCTGCCTCATCCCCACAAAGTGCTGGGATTAAAGGCATGAGCCACCACATCCAGCCTTGTACATCATCTTTTTGATGATAACCAATCTAGAGGGTGTGAAGGGGTAACTCATTGTGTGGTTTTTTGTTTTTTTCTTTTTTTGCTTTTCCCTAAAAACTAGTTATGCTGAACATCTTTTCGTGTGTTTACTGGACATTTATATAACTTCTTCACAGAAATGTCTATTCGAATTCTTTGACTAATTTTTAATTGGGTTTCTTTTTTTTAATCTTTTTATTATCAAGTTATTTCCATATTCTGTATATTAAACTATTAGATAGTATAAGATTGCAAATATTTTCTCCCATTCTGTAGGCACCCCACACACAGTCTTGATTATAGCTTTGACACTGAGTAGTGTAACCATTATTTTTTTAAAATATTTCTTCTGACCCATTCTCTCTCCTCTCCTTGAACTCCAATTACACGCAGACTGCCTGATATTATCCCAGAGGCTCTGTTTTTTCTCTATACCAATTTCCATCTCTCTATTCACCAAACTGGGTAACTTCTGTGGATCTGTCTTTGAGTTCAAAGAACCTTACTTCTGCCATCTTTAATTTGCTGTTAAGCCCATGTAGTAAATTCCTCATTTCAGATATTTTTCTACACAGTTCTACAACTTTGTGATTTTTTTTTCTCTTAAGTTACTGAATTTATAATAGTTGTTTTAATTCATTTTTCTGGTAGTACCAAGATGTGGATTCTCTTAGGCCAGTTTCTATTGAGAGTAAACTTTTTTTTTATTTGATATGGACCATATTTTCTTGCTTATTTGCAAGTCGAGTAGTTGTGGATTGTATGGTGAACACTGTGAATAATATGTTGTAAGGATTCTAGATTATATTGTCTTCCTTTAAAACGCTAAGTTTTGTTCTGGCTGGCAGTTAATTTACTGGCAGCTCTCCTTAATCCTAAAAAGGCAAGTCCAGAGCAACTCTTACTCTAGGGTTAAAGACTGGCAATAGAGATTGGCAAACTTTCTGTAAAGGATTAGACAGTAAATATTTAACACTGTGCAGGTCATACAGTCTCTATTGCAAATACTTAACTAGGCTGTCATAGCCGCAAAGCAACCATAGACAATACGTATATGAATTTCCATGAATGGCTGCATTTCAATGCAACTTTATTTATGGTCATCACTAAATCTATATTTCATGTAATTTTCACATGTTACAAAATATTTTTTAAAATTTTTTTCCAACCACTTAAAAATGTAAAAACTACTCTTACATCACAGGCCATGCAAAAACAGTCAGTGGGCCACATTTGCCAACTCCTGCTCTAATGTATGATCCTTACTCCAAAATCATGGTCTTTCTGGCATCTCAGGTAACTGCTCAGTATGTAGCCAAATGTCTCTCCACTTTGAATGAGCTGGAATCCAACACTTTCCAGCATCATAAGACGTTCAGTATCTTGTTCCACTCTTAACCCTACAACATTCACTCTCTACTAGACCTTGTAGAGTATCAGCTATGCATGTGCAACCCAGGCCTCAGCCAAGCACCCAGGGAGAACATACACATACACTTTGTGCTAAGGCACCCACAGTTTTCAACACGATTGTTTTTGCATATCAGTGTAAATGTTAACACAATGGGAAGGGCCAATAACATCTTGATATTATTATATCATGAAAACAGCTTTGACCTGAAGAATCCATTGAAAGGGTTTCAGGAAACTGACACATAGAAGGATCTCCACATTTGTTGAATGAATGAATGAGTGAATCAATAAACAAACAAGTAGACAGCTATGATGTATTTTAATCTAGATTTCAAAGTATTTTAGAGTTTATTTTTAACACACAAAAAAATCTAATTATTGGAATTATTTTCCAACATTAACAGAGAAGACTCATTAGGCAATATAGCACCCCTACCCTTAATATGTTTGAAGTATTTTTATCTCCACACCTCTCTAAACTTAAAAACTGTTGTATATGCAAGCATTCCTTGCTTTGCATGTAACATGGTGAGTGAAATTCATGCATACCAGCACTATGTGCTCCATCTATAGTGTTCTTTGGTAACTAAGGTGTTTAATAATATGGTATTGTGCAAAGCACATTATTATAAATGTACATGGAAATAAGCTCTAATGACCCACAAACTCAAATTCAGTAAAACAGGAAGGAAAACCATCATAAGAAGAATGAGCACCCTTTGGGCAGTAACTATGAATGGACACTCCTGACGGGAAAGAAACTCAGACACGTAAATGACTTTTTCAAACTCTATATGCCTCTCTCCAATAAAATATAGGAGATCAGGTGGATCACTTGACTTGAGGTCAGGAGTTTGAGACCAGTTCAAGTACCTGAGACCGACATGGTGAAATCATTGCTATTTGAGAATGAATCACTGTTCGTGATCAACTAATATAAGAGACCGACATGATGGAATCATTGCTATTTGAGAATGAATCACTGTTCATGATCAATTAACGTAAGCGTTTCCAATCACAAAAACCAAATGTGTTTGTGAATTGGGGGTCAGGAACAGAGCAGAAGCAAGGTGGCTAAGGGAATGAGAGACCAGCACTTCACAAACTATTGAGACAAAATTAGGTCACACTAAATTCAGTCTGGTCTTAAAAACTACAGGAATGAACATTTCTCAAAACAGAGGTAGATCAAATCTTTGGAATTCCATCTCCTAACCCTTCTCTTAATTCAATCAAAATAGCCTTAGAATTACTCAACAGTATTAGGTTGTCCCCTCTGTACTTCCATATCCACATCTACATGCAGGATTTCTCTTGTTCCTAGTTGACTTTTAAAAATTAACACCAACTTTCAAAACTTTCATAAATTTTATTTTATAGAGGCAGCGTCTCACTACATTGCCCAGGCTGGTCTTGAACTCCTGGGCTCAAATGATCCACCCACCTCAGCCTCCCAAAGTGCTGGGATTACAGGCGTGAGCCACTAAGCCTGGCCCAAAAACTCGTAAATCTTAAACAGTGTATTCAGCACTAATAAAGAAAATCAGTTCATACATTAAAAGTGTAAGTGTTTCTGCCAAGAGTTAGGAAAAAATTGAAAAGTATCTTATAGACAAATACTAATCGAAGTTTAGCAACTAAAAGAGTGTCATGGGAAAAGAAAGAAATAACTTCACTTCAAAAGAAAATTCTACTCGAAGTCTGTTTACTATGTATCACAAATGGGACAAAGGAGAAATGTAATTTACTATACCTTAAAATGTACTGTGATGTTCCAAGGAAGAGCTGAACTTGATGCAAGAAGATCAAATAGTAAACCAATTGGATAATGCCTAAAAATGAAACAGAATATTTTCAGAAAATAAATATGTAAAGTTATAACTACAACTCCAAAATAAATTTCCAACACATATTTTAACACCAAATGTCAGGCGCTTTAACCACAAATCACAGAAAGGCTACATTCTTTTTTACGTGCCTGGGCTAGTATGATCTACTTTCCAGGCATCAAGTGGTTTCCTTCTAAACACTTCATTCCCATAGAAACCTCAATATGCACAATGGGATTGTGGGCAAAGGCATTCTTTATCAGCCGTGTGAACTGTTATGCCACAGTACTGCTGCATCTAATTGTCATCCCAGTATTCATAAAGGACAGCTGATTTTTGTAAATTTATTTAAATATCTTTTTTACTTTTAGAACTTAAAATTTTTAAAAACTGTAAGAACCAAGATGAGCACCTAAAATGCATGCAAATCACCTATTCTGTGGTTACTATTAACATTATAGCATATAAATTTCCAGTCTTTACCTATACATACATATCTAAATAAAGATCAGGACTATCCTTTAAAACTGTATTATAACCTTTTTCACATAATATAATGTCAACATTTTCCCAAGTCACTGAATATTGTTCTGAAACCTAATTCTAAATTAAAAAAAAAATAAGTTCCAAAATAAGAGAACATTTCCTAATATAACCATTACTCACAGTGAAGTAAATTACTTAGCAATAAATAAACATGACTAATACAAACGTTGTAGATTTCAATGGACAAACCTTAAGCCATCCTTTTAAAAAGTCTAAAGTAAATGAGCTTACTTGGTTAATCAGAATTAAATAATACGGGTTGAGTATCCCATTTCCAAAATGCTTGGGATCAGAAGTGTTTCAGATTTCAGCTTTTCTTTTTAAATTCTGGAATATTTGCATCATATTCTTGCCATCTGAGCATCCCAAATCTGAAAATCTGAAATGCTGGAATGAGCACTTCCTTTGAGGGTCATGTCAGTGCTATGTTTACCTATGTATGTACAGGTAAATGTACTTAGATTCTGGATTTCAAATTGTGGGATGTGGGATGCTCAACCTGTACTCACAACCAAGGCAAAAAGAAAACTACTTGGTGTTATACACAGTCCTGTCTTTATCTGTATAATCTATTAATGAGTTACTCCTAGATTTAAGAGCTGCAAAATTTGAAATCACATCAAATTTATCTCAAAATGAGTAACTGTGACCAAGATTCAAATGTCAGTTAATATTATTTATGCTTGTGCTATTCTGGGCACAATGCCTATGGGATAGCCCTGCTCTGCAAGGAGCAGTACGTTTGCTTATATATAAAACATATATGTGTTTATATATATAATTGTATATATATAATTTATGCTTGCTTACTTGTACATAATTATGGGAAAGTCATCAGTTTCTAGAGATCATGTATTTATTTGGTAGGAACTTAGGAAGGGCCAGGTACAGTAACTCAAGCCTGTAATCCCAACACTTTGGGAGGCCAAGGCGGGTGGATCGCTTGACTTGAAGTCAGGAGTTGGAGACAGTTCCAGTACCTGAGACTGACATGGTGAAACTCTGTCTCTACCCAAAAATACAAAAAGAAAAAAAAAATTAGCCGGGCATGATGGCACACAGCTGTAGCCCCAGCTACTCAGGAGGCTGAGGTGGGAGAATCTCTCGAGCCCGAGAGGTAGAGGCTGCAGTGAGCCAAGACTGCGCCACTGCACTCCAGCCTGGACGACAGAGTGAGACCTTGCCTCGAGAAAAAAAAAAAAAAAAGAATTTAGGATGAATGCCCTGTTGGTAAAAATAAAACAGTGGGGGTACTTTTAGTCTTATATGCATTATATCTCTTAATAAGAACCCTTAAATTTCTCTCTAATCAATCCTTTCATATCCAGAAAATAATACTGAAGAAAACTATAGAACCAGGAAAAACTCTCACCTCAGTCAAAACCTAAAAAATATATATACACACACACACACATATATATACATATATAGCACTATAGACAAGTCATAGATTTAATCCAATTCTGATCCTTCTCTCTGAAGTATTAAAATTGAACAAACTCTAAAATAATACCTCATACTTTTACAAAACAGACCTTTTAACGTCTTCGATTTATTTTTTTTAAGAATATCTCTCTTAGGTATCTGCAACAGGGTTAAAGATGAATGTAGGCACTTAACTGAAGTTTTATTTACTTAGATTTCATTAAAAAGACTTAAAATTTCAAAAGTGACACCATATTGCTTTCCAGATTCTAAACAGCACTGAAAATACAATTACAAAGAACTCCACTAAGCAAAATACAGAGTCAATCTATTAGATAAGATTCACTTGAGATCACATAAAACTACTACAATCCAGTGTTTTACATATTCCCTGCCATTAACAAATATGTGAAACACTTTTGTAAATTTGTAAGCAAATTCTAAACCAAATATCATATCTTAAAGTAATCTATAATATAAAATCAAGTTTGTTTGTTTTTTTTTGAGACAGGGTCTTACTCTGTAACCTAGGCTGGAGTGCAGTGGTGCAGTCAGAGCTCACCACAACCTTGACCTCCTGGGCTCAGGCTGGTCTCAAACTTCTGGGCTCAAGCAATACTCCCACCTTGGCCACCCAAAGTAATGAGATTATAGGCATGAGCCACTGTGTCCAGCCCAAATAACTTTTAAAGGAAATATCTGGATAAGAATACAAGTTAAACATAAGACTCAATCATCAATTATTTTTTACCCTCAATATTTAAAAAATGAGAAAACTGTAAATACACAGAATCTTGAACAAAGTCCATAATGAATAGCTGCTGAATGCATAAATCAAAGAAGTACACAGACTAACCCTAGGTACAACATAAAGATCCAATGGAGCCAATTTTAGGTTCTGAGTTTCTTTTTTGAGCAGTTCCAACTATTTTAATGATTGACACTTCATGACTTTTATTCATTCTTAAAGGTATTCCAAAGAACAGAAAAAACTCACTTAAAAAAAAAAGATAAAACTTACTCCATGTAGTAATTACTATATGGAGCCACTGGACCCTTTTATAAATCTAAGATATATTTTAGGGTCTTACTGATTTTATTGTTTCCTATACATTTCTGATGTTTCTCCAAGGTGTCACAACTATGTGGGAACATTAGGTTACTTAAGGCAATTATTGTTTCCTATACATTTTACTATTTCATCACTCTGGAACTTATTTCATCATTATTTGTCAATTATTCCCAATAAGAGACTAAAACAGTAAGAAATTGAAAAAATAACGTGATGCCTAGAAGGATGATAGAAGAATGTACCCTTCTTTCATTTTCTTACTGTGTTGCCTAAAGTATTGAAACATCTTTCAAGAAAGTGTAAAACAAGAATGCAGGCTAGGCTGGGTACAGTGGCTTACATCTGTAATCCCAGCACTTTGAGAAGCTGAGGCGGGTGGATCACCTGAGGTTAGGAATTCAAGACCAGGCTGACCAATATGGTGAAACCCCATCAGTACTAAAAATACAAAAACTAGCTAGGCGTGGTGGCATGCGCCTGTAGTTTCAGTTACTCAGGAGGCTGAGACAGGTGAATTACTTGAACCCGGGAGGTTGAGGTTGCAGTAAGCCAAGACTGCGACACTGCACTCCAGCCTAAGCAACAGAGAGAGACTCAGTCTCAGAAAAAAGAAAAAAGAAAGCAGACCTCATTCTGGAATCAGTTTTTAGCTATCATTAACACAGTTGAAAATTCCAAATTTCTCATTTTCTACCTATAATGGTAGAGAAAAAACCTTGACAGAGGAAGATGTTTCACAATTATTAGACAAATCAGGACAAAAAGCAAAGAGAAACAGCAATACTCTGGACTTTAATGACAATAGTGAAATTGATCATTTAAGTGAAATCTCAAACTCTGAGTGTTTAGACGATATCAAATTTTACATAGTTCAAGAACTAATAGAAGAACAATATATTTCTAAGGACAAAAAGGAACGTATGATAATCTTAACAGCTTAGTCATCAACAGAAAAAACTTCATTACATGATATTTTATGACAAAAACCTGGACCATTCCATTTTACTAAAAGAACGTGTGACAATATTATTTCGTCTTTTATGTTACTTATAAACTCAAATTTCTTTGATAGTGGGCAAATGCAAAAGGTCTATTTATATACAAAGAAGACTGAAGGAATTAGATCACATAGAAATGAAAAAAAGTACTGGACTGCTCAGTCTAATTGGTGTTGATTCACATAAAAAAGAAAATATTTTGTAATGAAATCATGAGCTGGCAAAGGGTTTATAGATTTCTTCAAGTATTATTAACACTATCAGAAGCAAGAAGGGCCAGAAGTAATAAGCCAGAACCTCTCAGAGGTATATTTGTACATATAAAAATTAATGAGCAATTAGTTGCATTCAGGGGATGCTGACCATTTTAGATACCCTTAAAACTAGAAAAATATGAAATGAAAATGTAAATCTGTGTATTTAAACCTGTATTAAAATTTCTAATAAAGTTGTTATACACTATTCCTTTATTCTAGTTTCTCTAAATTATTTGGAAACTGACTTAAATACATATATTATATATTATATATAACAAAAATATTTATATAATTAATTATAATAATATATATAACAAAATATTTTTATATATTATAATTAACAAATATAATTAACATATAATAATAATCATATGTTTATTATAATAGTACATAAAAGTATATATACGTACTATTATAAATAAATATATATCAAGTAATTTTTTTAAATTCATTGAAGGCTGGCCAGGGGTTGCTCAATGCTGGTAATCCCCAGACATGTTGGGAAGGCTGAACGCAGGTGGATTGCTTGAGCCCAGAGAGTTTCGACACTAGCCCGTGAAGCTAACATGGCAAAACCCTGTCTCCACAAAAAATACCACAAAAAAAAATGGCCAGCATGGCAATCTGTACTCAGCAGACGTTTGAGACCCCTGATTCAACAATTTCTTTTTTTTTTTTTGAGAGAGAGTCTCACTTCTTCTCACT